TGGGTGAGGGAAATCTGATTCTAGGCTTCTACTGTTTTTGAGCTAGTTTATGATTCTATAAATTGCACGTAACTGATAGCAATGAAAAGCAATCCTTTTCTCCAGAAATGCAAGCAAATTCTGCCCAGTGGAAGGACAACACCCCCCCTCTCCCCACACACACACAACACAGACACACAGTTCATTCCAATGTTCCTAATCTGTAAATATAAATGTGTATATTCTTTGGACTCTCCTTTGAACTGGCTGTAACATCTGCTTCGTTTCGTCATGGATCATGAATTACATAAAATCCTTAACTGGTCATTTTATTCCCGCATGATCTTATCCTCTTTTAAGATTTGAGATGGAGGACCACACATAGAAAAAAAGTGATGTGATTTGCAGCGTTGAGGCAAAGGCTCCCAAGGTTGATCAGGCCCAGGGAAGGCGTCCGGGCATGGGGCTGATGGGCTTGTACCATGGCTGAGGGCCCACCTTACCAGCCACAGCCCCCAACCTGGAGCCCCTCTCTCCTCGGGCTACCTTGAGGAGGCCTGGAGGCAGGTCAGTCACTTAGGTTCTTCCATCAGGAAAAAGACAGCTGGGGTGACGGGTATGTCCATTGCCTTGATGGCAGTGATCGGGCAGACCAGGAGCTGATGGTCCCCTACAGCCTGGACCCACTCAACATCGCCATGTCCACACCAAACCCCAATCCCTAATCTCCCCGGGCCCCTTCTCATGTCAGGCAGCCCTGTGTCTTAAGAAATCTCCAACCTAATCTCTCAAGGCACATGCTTACCACTTTTCTCCTCATTCAAAACTGTTAATTCAAAAGAACCAAATCATACCAAGGATCGGGAACAATAGAAGAGTCTGGACTAACCCCAATCCAGGGAAAGGCGGGTTCTCACAAGGCCTGTGCATCTGAAACTAATTTGGGACAGAGGGGCTGGGCACCCTATGGAGCCAGGGCAGGTCCTTGAAGAGGTAGTGATTTGGGGGGATCTCCCTGACGGCTGACTTCCTTCTTCCCCATGCCCCAGTCTCTGTTCTAAAAAAACTCAAGAGACAATCCTGTTCTGTCCCTTCCCAGCTCCCAAGTGCACTTCCTTCCCCACACCCTGCGTGCTGGATGTGGGACCCCCTTCCTACCAGAGGCCTCCTCTCTGCTCCCCCAGTTAGTAAGTGGAGGCATCCTTCCCCTCTAATCCCTCGCTTCTCAGCCTCCAACCTCTGCATCTGTGTTTCCAGACATTGAGTTTTCATTGATATTCATGAATGAAGGGGGAAAAAAAGCAAAAACAGGAGAAAAAGAATATCAACTTTTATTTCTAAATCAAAAACAATTAAAAAGAAACCAACCTTTGCCATCAACATCATTTTATATTTTTAAAAAGGTCATGTTAATACAAAGGAAGTAGAAACATTTCTCATCTCTAATAGGATGGTCCCTTGTTCCAACAGAGTCCAGTTCTCACTTGGTTCTAGTCTCTCCTCCTTATTGCAGTAGCTTTGAATAAAGTCGTCCTTGTCTGTTTAACCATTTTTGCTTTGACAATTCCCAGCTTGGTGACGTGGAAGCCACAATGGTGGGACAGTCCTGGAACCCCAAACCACCAGGGAGACAATGGCCCTGGGTTATGGAGTGACTTCTAATGTCATAGGATTTACTTCTAGGGTCTCTCCTTTTATTTTTTGTGCCGATGGATTTCCTACATTGGAACCGTCACTGCCTTGTTGGACTGAATTCTACTGGTTCAGATATTCCGTTAAAACATTTCTGTGTTTGGGCGCCTGGGTGGCTCAGTTGGTTAAGCGACTGCCTTCGGCTCAGGTCATGATCCTGGAGTCCCGGGATCGAGTCCCACATCGGGCTCTCTGCTCAGCAGGGGGTCTGCTTCTCCCTCTGCCCTCTTCCCTCTCGTGCTCTCTGTCTCTCATTCTCTCTCTAATAAATAAATAAAATCTTTAAAAAAAAAAAAACATTTCTGTGTTTGATTTGCCGATATCTTATTGATGATTTTGTGTCTGCATTTATAAGTAAGGTTAATCTATAGATCTCTTTTTGTGCTGGCTTTATCAGATCTGGGGGACATGGAAGACAAAGTTTAAAATGATAGTGATGAACAAGCATTGCTTTAAAATTTGGATTTCAGTATTAAAAAGCTGGCAAATATCACATATTTTAAATTCTGTTGCAGTAAAAAGAGAACAGAGGGATGTCTCTCTTAATGCTGCAATCATCCATCGGGGTGTCATAGTCTGAATTTCATGCTTCTTAAAGAAATTTGCTAAGCCTGCTGCTGAATCCTTTATGTATACTGACATAATTTTTGAATCATCATCAACTTTCACGAGTTACATAATTTAGCCTGAGCAGTGTTTCACCAGCATTAGAAACAGCTAAATTATTCATCAAGTCTGAATATGAATAACTAAGAGTAAATTAACATGTTTATTAGCATCAGAGGGACTCATTTGTTTCTGGGAGGCAGGACTGAGTTCAGGTAAAGCAGCTGACCTCCATTCTGAAAAGGATCTTCCCGACCTTAGGTTTTCTTTCCAAAGGGGGGTGTTATATGCTCTCTCCCCACATTTTAGGAATGTGATAGTTGCACCGAATGAATGGGGAAATTTTCCTCCCATCGGTATACCCTTCCTCTGGGATCAGTTAAATAATGTAAAGATAATCTATTGCTTAAAAGTCACTTGCTTTAAAAGAACTTAAAACCTCAAATGACCTTGACTATTGAACTGTCTGGGCGATGGGTTTATAAATGGTTCATTATTAAATACGGTTTTCCATTTTTTTTTCCTACCATTATTCTGGGGTTTAGTACTTCACTGTTTAAAAGGAGCCACTGTTGGGGCGCCTGGGTGGCTCCGTCCAGTTGAGCCTCTGAAACCTCTTGGTTTCAGCTCAGGTCATAGTCTCAGGGTTGTGAGATTGAGCCCCGCATAGGCTTTGTGCTCAGCAGAGAGTCTGCTTAAGATTCCCTCCCGCAGCTCACGCAAGCTCTCGTGCTCTGTCTCTCTGAAATAAATAAATAAAATCTTCAAAAAATAAAAGGAGACATTTTTGGTTTTTGAAAACTGCTTTGTTTTGTTACATAACAGCTCATATCAAGGATCAGTGTCCAAAGTAAAAGACCCTTCTGGGAGCTGTACCTATCTTCTGCGGGAGGGTATTAATGTAATCCGCTTCTTCTACGTCAGAGTATGAAATTGAGCATCTGATTAAATACCACATCAGAAAGATTTTCATCCTTTCTCTTTTTCATTAGCATCTCTACTGCTCTTTGAATTAGTTTTTGTATCTTCTACATGATAGTTGTGCATTTCAGCGAGATTTTCCAAACTATTGGCATAAATTTGCACATATTTCTTATAATCCTGTTAATTTTCTCTCTCTCCATGATAACATCTGCTTTTCTCATTTGTACATTACATGCTATTGTTTTCTCTTTTAGAAATCTGAGGTGGGCAAGGTCAGCATTAAAGCTTCTAAATACTCAGGATGAAATTATTGCTGTAATCTCCATATGATACATGAAATCATTAATATCCTCAATGCACAATGTTGTTTAATCAGGAAGCAGAAAGAGTCCTCGTTATGACTTTTTCCACATTCACATTCCACCTTGGTGGATCATTTTCAGGTTTTCTTGGGAAAACTCTCTACGTGGAACCTGAGACTTCATGATACCAAAGTATCAGGACTTCCTTCTTCTGGTGGGAAGAGGGGAATCTTTCTTCCTTCTAAGGCCAGATGCTCAGTTCTTATACCTCTTTTGAAAGCATAAGCAGAACTATAGTTGTATTAGTTGCATCATTAACTTAGCCCCACATTGTGCTTTGTTCCCTACTTATGTTTTATGTACTTCTTAACCTCATGCAAGATCAATCATTAACTTTGCCTTTTTACCCCTACTCCCTGTTTACCCACTGTTGTAGAAAACTAATGGGGACAGGGCAGTAACATTTGTCTTGACATATCTGAATGTACCAGGTCCCAAATAGCGTCTCACTGTCTAGAAGAGTGCTTGCCTCTAGGCTGTTTCAAGCCCCCCCACCCCCACCACCACTGGAGGTTTCAAGAAACCCTCGTCTTCTGTATTCACCTCCTTCCCCAATCATTTAAGCTGTCCTTCGGCTCAACAGGGCAAGGCAGTTTTGGGAATGACCCCCTGCCTTCTCATTGAGCTGCCCTTCTGATAATAAAGCTTTCCTTGCTTCAGAACCGTGTCTTGGATATCGGCTTCCTGTGCCTTGGGCGCAGGGACAAGTTTGAGCTCGGTAACCCATCCATCTTTCCTTTGCTCCATCCTTCCTTTGTTTTTCTTTCTTTAGCTCTTGCCTGTTTTTCTTAAGCAACCTACACCACAGGCTCCATGTCCTTCCAAGAAAGGCTTGCTAATCTCTAACAAGAAGGAACTACATCATGCCTGCAGGTTGCTCAAAGTTGTTTCCTCCAAATTATGTTTAAAAAGACCCTTTGTGGTTGGAATTCCACTTACTTGCTCTTTCTATATGTATATGCTTCTCTTAAAAATTAGAGGTATGGGAAAGTTGAAGAGAGTAGATCCTGAGTCCTCATCACAAGGAGGATTTTTTCCCCTTTTTTCTTTTCTTCTTTCTTTTTACTGTATCTACATAAGAAGATGGATGTGAGCTGAGCCTACTGTCATTCTACAGTGTACGTAAATCAAGCCGTCATGTCGTTCACCTTAAATTCACACTGTGATGTATGTTAATTATTTCTTATTAAAACTTGGAAAGAGGGGCGCCTGGGTGGCTCAGTTGGTTAAGCGACTGCCTTCGGCTCGGGTCATGATCCTGGAGTCCCTGGATCGAGTCCCGCATCGGGCTCCCTGCTCGGCGGGGAGTCTGCTTCTCCCTCTGGCCCTCCCCCCTCTCATGTGCTCTCTCTCATTCTCTCTTTCTCTCAAATAAATAAATAAAATCTTTAAAAAAAAAAAAAGACTTGGAAAGAAAATTCAAGGTAAGTACTTACATCATTATCCCAAATGAGAGAATAGGAACTTGTGATCGTGTGTCACACGGGCTTTGGGAACCTCTCCATCCGGCTGTGGCAGGGGCCTCCTGGGCCAATCCTACCAGTGTTGCCACTGTCCCAAGGAGAAGGGGTACAAAGCCAAACTCTAAGACCTGCCCAGAGGTTGAACAACCCCACCTTTGAGCAGAAGGCTGGGAACAGTGTGGGGGTGTCTGGCGTAAAACAGTACCACTTATTAGCTCATGGTCTCAGAGTCAGACCAGATGTAGCTCAGGCAAGGCCACAGTCAAGCACCAGCTGGGGCCACAGTCACCTCAAGATTCACCTGAGCCAGGATTTGCTTCCAAACTCACTTGGTGACTGCTGGTGGGATTCAGCTCCTCGTGGACTGTGGGACCAAGAGCCTCAGTTCCTTCCTGACTGTTGGTCAGAACCCAACCACGTTTAGTTTCTTAACACATGATTGGTTTTCTCCTGTGGTTCCCAACATGGTGGCTGGCTTCACCGAAGTTATCAAGTGAGAAAGAACCAGAGAGAGCCAGTGGGAGGCAGTCACGGCCTTTTATCACCCAATCTCAGAAGTGACACCCCATCACTTGTGTAGTATTCTCTTGGTTGGAAGCAAGTCCCCAGGTCCAGCCCACACTTGAGGGGAGGAGACTACAAGGGTGGGAATGCCAGGAGGCAGGGATCACTAGGAACCATTTTAGGACGCTTCCTACCACAGGAGTATGAAATAAAACCAGGTGTATGTGGGAAGTTACTATAAGGCAATGGATACCATTTCAAATCATGGTGAAAAGACTATACACGCACACAAGAATGGTTGAGATAATCAATCAGCTCTCGTTTGGAAGTAGGATCCCTGCCTCACACCATTCACAAAAATAATTTCCAAATGGCTAAAAATCTAAAAATAAAATAACACCATGAAAATACTAGAAGAAAACACAGGCAACTGTTTTTATAATCTTCAGATGGCAATGTCCTTCTAAACATGACTAGCATGCCCAGTTCATGAGAGAAGGGGATCTGTGTGGTTTTGTTACTATGGTTGTATTCCAAGAACTAGAAACGGTACCTGGCATGTTGGGAATGTTTAAATAATATTTGTTGAATAATGGCTGAAGGAATAAAACCCCAAAACCCTAACAGAAAACACTGACAGTTCTGACCAAAGATGATTGTAAAAGGTGTGTGTGGTGGTGGACACCAAAAAGAAAGTTAAAACAAAACCAAAAAGTGAAGGAAGCATGAAGAATTGAGCCAAGTGGAGAATAAAATGTTAGCTTCATTAATGGCTGGAAACTAGTCAATAACTCAAATTGCAAAACTTCTCATGAAACATGTTATGCAAAAAAGGAAGATCTTTTCATCTCTTTCTCTGAACCTAGCCTATGTAACCCACGGACAAACCCGTGGGGAAGCTGGGTCTGTGGTCCCCACTCGCCCTGACTTACCTGTGGGCCACAGGCAGAGAGGCTGGAAAGCGGAGGGTCTGCGCCAGTAGCCGGGGAGGAGCAGACGGGCTGCCTGACCGATTTCAGGTGTCCCCAGGGAACGAGAGGTCGGTGTGGACACGCCTGAGCAGCAGCCTCCTGAACCAAGTGTTGTTTCTTCCCTAGGGAAAAAGAAAGACAGAAAGGAGGGAAAAGATGGAGAGAGGGGTTAGGATTCCTCTCCTCTGTGGACATCAGGGATGTATGTGTGTGAGTGTGAGTGTAAGTGAGTGTGTATGTGTGGGAGTGTGAATGTGAGTGTGAGTGTGAGAGTGAATGAGTGTGTGGGTGTGACTGTGTGAAACAGTGAGTAGTGTGAGAGTGAGTGTAAGAATAAACGAGTGTGTGAGAGTGGGTGTGAGTGTGTCAGTGCACGTGAATGTGTGAGTGAGTTTGAGTGTGTGAGTGTGAGGGTCAGAGTGTGTGTGTGTATACACACTGGGGGTGGAGGGGCGTTCCCTCTTCCTAATATTCCAGGAAAAACGTGGCCCACAAAAGATCACTATCTATGTTATACAAAGGGTTTCCTCAAGAAAATAAAGGAGCAATATACAATTAAAAAGGAAAAAAATCTAGAGGTGCCTGGCTACTCAGTGGGTAGAGCATGTGATTCTTGATCTCGGGGTTGTAAGTTTGAGCCCTGCACTGGGTGTGGCGATTAATTAAAAATAAAATATTTTTTTATAAAAGGGGGAAAATCTAGAAGAAAACAAATGACTAGATAACTTATAGAAGAAATACAAATGGCTGATAAAGATGTAGCAGATCGAGAGGTTTTTTTTTCCTGTCTCATCTTCTTTCCTTGACCTCCTCACTCCTGGAGGGGAGAAGACTTGTGGCCATTCAAAGATTATTTTTAGCATAAAAGCACACAGAAGTTCTGCTATGATAGGTGTTCAGTGGAGCAAGGTTTTCGGGGTTCAGTCAGGAAAAAGGCAACCATTCTATGCATTTTGAGCATGAAGGATTAAATACAAGAATTGGGGGCTTATCCAATTTACTGAAGAGCAGAGAAAGCTACAGGGAAGCTACAACCAAAGAGCCCAGCCTGAAACACCAAGGGGAGGGCTCCTGAGAGTTTGCCAGGAAAGTGTGACTCACATGTGCTCATGGGTCTGGATGCATCTGCTTCCAAAAAATAATGCCTTGTCATCAATCACGCCTCCCGCATGCTTCTCACTAGAAAACTTTAATCCTGGACCATGCAGATAAAGGGATTCTGGGAATTGTAGTTCCTGTCTTCTCTGCATTGCGCAAGAGAACTCAGTGGCGCTGGTGGTGATGCCAAGGTGACTCAGACGGCTGGGCACAGTCCGCTGGGGTCTACGCACGTCCCTTTACTCGTGTTTGACTTCCAAAAACAGGAAGTGAAAACGTCATGCTTCTGCATAACGCAAGCCAACTGTCACTCAATCCGATGAAGCTATGCTCACTCTCTCTCAGAGACGTGCATCCTTTCTCAGCCCAGTCACAACTCCCTTAAATATCCAATAACATAAATGTTGAATCAGAAATACTTTGTATTAGATACAGAGGAGTGGGAAAAAAAAGATTTTTTTTTTTTTTTTGAGACAGAAAAAAGTCCAAGGGCCAGGCAAAATGTTGCAACCGTGTTTTATGAGCAACTTCTTATTTAATGATATGTGTGTTTCAAACTGAAGATGTCTTTGAGGAAACTCTTAAAAGGAAATGTATGTCTGGGCACCTGGGTGGCACAGTCGGTTGAGCGGCGGACTCTTGGTTTCCGCTCAGGTCGTGATCTCGGGGTCCTGGGATGGAGCCCCACATGGGACTCTGCACTCAGCAGGGAGTCTGCTTGCGATTCTGTCTCCCTCTCTCTCTCTGTCCCTCCAACTTGTGCTCTCTCTTTCTCTCAAATCAATCAATCAACCTTAAAAAAATGTATGTCAATCAAAGCCGACTTGCCTTGTGAATGCTGATACTTCAGAATACTCTTAGTATTTCAATAGCAGTAAAATGAAGTATGCTTTTTTTTAAAGGAGAAAAAACTGAATAGTGCCTGCACAGTCCTCCTTTCTGCAACTGGTCCTGTGAACACGACGAGAATGAATAATGTGTTTTTCCTTCACCCATCCTGTGTTTTCCTTGCCCTCAGCCACCGCTTTGGCTCTCATGGTTCTTTCCCTCACAGGGGGACCCAAGCCATTCCTGAAGGTGGTTCTGGCTCCATTGGGTTGCTGGAGTATTTTAACTAACTTTTGCCACTGGACATGTAATATTAAGAGGTGTTGCAGACAATGCCCCGGGTTCCTCTTCTTCCCCACTGCATGGTGTGATAACAGTCTTCTTGCCTGTGGCTGGATGTCAGTCTCAGCTTCCAGGTCAACAGAACCCTTGTTTGATTTCTCATTAGAAGCAGTCTTCTCTTGGGAACTAAGATCTCTAAACCAGCAAAGCCCAATATTGCAGAAACAGGAATAAAATATTTGCTAGTGGGCCATTAAGAAAGGCCTGTCCCAGCTCTAGCCTTGTTTCTGGAGCAATAATCTTCAAAAAGTCTGGGTACTTCCCTTTCCCCAGTGCACAGTACCTTTGGAGAAGGCAGGGAGAAGCATTTCCCAAATACATTTTAGGCAGAGTAGCCGAGTCATTCCTCGAGAGGACCACCCTCCCCTTCAATCAAGGGGCTCTGGGTCTGTGAGCTGGCTCGGTTCTAGGAACTGGTCAAGGGGGCAGAACTCCTTAGAAAGGTGGTCCACATCACATCTCTGTCTGTTAAGAGTTTTTTCACTTGTACAGATTAAAACTCTGATAGTCACCCGACTATTTCAGTCCTAAGTACACCATGACCCATTAACACCTGCTAAAGATCTCTCAGGCCATGCTATACTTTTCCTAGTCCATCTCTGCTTCCCCTCATGCTGGCCACAGCACCTCTGAAGATCTTTCTCTTGGCCTCCACTACACCTGGATCCCACCCTACCCCACGGACCACAGGGAGACTATCTCGAAGGTGGCCTCTCCCACTGTCATCCCCAGTCTGCAAAGAAACCACTACAGAGCCTCTCAAGGGAGGCTGGAAACCGAAGCAGGAATGACCACATTTCCAGAGGTCTCTATAACAGGTGGTTGGTTTGATGGAAAATGGCAGAAATAGATGAAAGAGAGTAAGGAGCTCTGGGGATGCCAAGGTCAAGGGTTTTGCTGCTCCTGTCCTCCAACGGTAAGATGCATCTGCCCCGTGTGTCTCTAAAAGGTGGTGGGGGAGATGGGGGTTCACCTGAGAGATCCAGCTAGTTCTATCAGTTACCACGTGCTTGCACATCAGCACAAATTACGTCCTGTTCTGAATTTGTTCTAACGACGATTCTCTCTGAGCACTCTGCATGCTCATTAGATAATATTTTTGTCTTGGGCAGCTGCACATCTGTACAAGATGCGTCCCGTGTCCCCAGATGACTGCTGGCAACTGGCTTCTCCGTCCTCAGTAGGCCTTATCGTGTCCTACCACACCAACGTATGTCTTCCCCCCAGCTTTATTAACCTATGATTGAAAGACAAAAAAGTTACACAATTAGGTTGTACAAGGTGATTTTTCAGAGTGTACAATATGATGATTTAATATATGTGCACGTTGTGAAATGATCACCACGGTCAAGTTCATTAATGCATCCATGGCCTCATATAGTGACCTTGTGTGTGTGTGTGTGTGTGTGTGGTGAGAACACTTGTGATTTACTCTCTTAGCAAATTTCAGGTCTGCAAGAGAGTATTAACTACAATCGCCATGCTATATATCAGATCTCAAGAACTCATTCCTCTTATAACTGAAAGCTCGTACCCTTTGACCAACCTCTCCCCATTTCCTCCAACAACTCAGCTCCTGGCAACTGCTCTACCCTCTGGTTCTATGAATTTGACTTTTGTAGATTCCACATAGAAGTGAGATCATGCAATACTTGGCTTTATTTCACGTAGTGTAATGTCCTTCTGATTCATCCTTGTTGTCACAAGTAGCAAGATTTCCTTCTTTTTTATGGCTGAATAATATTCCATTTAGATATTCCATTCCATTATATATATGTATCTGCATACAGATATATGCAGATACATATATATAATTAGTTATTGGAATATATATGGAATATATATGGAATGAAATCTATATCGTACATTTGTTTTTGTTATTTATATTATGTTATTTGTTTGGGGTTTTTTTGTTTGGTTGGTTGGTTTTGCTACTGAGTTGTAACGTTCCTTTTTTTTTTTTTAAGATTTTATTTATTTATTT